CAGCATGCACTGGTGGGTATCTGGTGTTGGCACTCTTGGGTGTTTTATGGTAGGGATCATTTACTACACTTTTTACGGTAGTTTGTCTCTTGCATTACAGGAAGTGTTGTTGTTTGTTGTCTTGCTGTTAGTTTGCTGCTATAGGGAGTCTTAGCCACGCCCATCTACTTCCGGACCAAGGGTCCCCGGAAGAACGAAAACACGGGGCTAAAAACGCTATTTTCTAATTCCATTTGTTTTGTGCCATGGATTTCACACGATGTCCGTGAATTTTAAAGACACATTTTAACTCATTCGCCGCCAGCCGTTTCCTGAATGGTAAAGCCCTTCGCTGCCAGCGCTTCTCACCGTTTTTACAGTTTTTTTAAGAGTCACAGAGCGTGACTCGGTAAAAAAAAAAAAGAGTCACAGAGCGTTGCGCGCTAGGATGGTGTCAAAGCCAAAACAAAGCGGAGACTGGCCTCTTACATCAGGAAGAATCCGCGCATTTCAAGCTTTATCTGTTCTTTCATAATCCGTTGTTGAATTGTGATCGGCAGAAGCTTTTCCGGTTCGCACCTCACTTTTTTTACAGCAGCGGCCCAAAACAATCTCCTAACACATGGATGTTCTGCTTCCTGATCACGTGACGTGTGACGTACGCGGATGAAGATCGGCTTTAGAGCTGGGATGTTTGTTCTCACGGTGCGGGGGCTCGTCCGACGCCCACGCAGTAAAACATGCAAATAACGACTTTAGTCGTCAATGGCAGTGAATGAGTTAATACCAAGAACACAGTACTTTAGGTATTGTGTGGAAAATAAGTCCAGGAATACAAATGCGCTTAATGAAAGTGACGGAGGGAAGAACCACCATTAATCAGGTCATTTGGTAAGTAGCAGCTACGCTAGGGGAGAAGAGATTATGTGGTGACGTCACATATGCAACGTACCAATTTCTGGTGTGTAGTCATGCCAATTACAAACTTTTACAAGCTAATAAATCTCAAAGTACATGACTGGCGTGGTCGAAACACCCATCATTACTGTTCATTTAAATTGCAGTACAACCTATGTGCTGTTCAGGGCTTAAGGCAAAGCGGATTAGATAATAGCGTTTTTAGCCCCTTTGACTTGCATCTTCACTTCATTTTTTCATTCTTCCGGGGACCCATGAGCCAACCGGAAAGGGAGGAGACTTATGGGCTCGACACACGGGAGGCGACAAACGACCGCGATCAGCAAAATTCGTCGCTGTCGCTTTTATTACCTGACACACGGGAGGCGACCCGCGGCAGCGGCAAAGCGGTCAACGCGTTCTGTTCTATGGCGAAATTGTATCTTCCGTTGTTTTGATTGGCTGTGTCAGGTTGGAGGGAATTAAGGTTATTTAAGCGGTTCAGAGTTGAAAAAGCGGCAGATTTGATGTTTCACAAGGTGCTGGCTCCAACAACTTCCCATGCCACTGCCTTTTTTGAACATCTCTATATTCTTTGGTAGAAATATTGTACAGTTCTGGGAAATCCGTCACAGCAAGTATCAACTTCTCCTCCATGTTTGCTCGGAGATGTACGGAGCATCATGCCCGCTCATTGGTCAGTGAATGAAACCTCCACTGATTGGTCCTCGTCTGAGCGACAGCGATGAAAGGTTGAAAATATTTAAACTTTCTGGGATCTCGTCGCTGGGTCGCCTGTGCACGACACGTGCACGAGCGCAAAATTTGACACACACGTTTTTCGCATTTTGCGTAGGAGGGAGACCCGCGATTATCGCATGTCTCATTGAAAATGAATGGAGGAGAGGCGATGTCGCCTCCCGTGTGCCAAGCCCATTAGGCTCGCTATAGTTCTGAACGACTCATTAAAGGAATCGAAACCCCGCAAATGACTCATTATTCACTTCACACAGACATTTCACTGTAACATCAAGCTGTTGGTGAAAAAGAAGCTTCAGGTATTTATAGAGCCGGCTATTAGCTTCTGTTAGCTTCCACGCCTGAGCCTGTGCAGGTGAAACAGTGTAAACTATTCCGAGCAGCACCGTAATAATAAACCCAAACGTTAAACTGAACATTCACACTCCGCAGAGACGGACCACTTGGGTAAGCTGGAGATGGGCTGGGCCTGGTTTGGTGCCGCTGGTTTCCTGCAGGCTTAAAAGTGTTATCAAACAGAAACAGGACAGTGGGATGGACGTAGAAACATGATCACACTGTGGGTTTATGGAAGCAGACAGAAAAATAACCAAATGATAATAAAACAATGCTGGTGATGTATGATCTGTACAAATGTTTTCCTTTCAGCAAAGAGGAACCGCTCCTTTTCTCTCTCAGTTCGCTCCTCCTCAGGCCTCAAGCGCTTCCATTCTATCCTCATCTCCTAACTGAACCCCTCTTTTATTGAAGCTAAACCCACAAGGACCGTCTGCCTGTCTGCTAAGCTCACCAGAGAGATGTCAGTCAGCAACGTGTTCAGACTCTCCGGAGGATCCTCCATGTTACTCTCCGCCACGCTGTCGTTCTGAGATGCAGGAAAGAGGAAGAACCAGAGAGAAGACCAGAAAACAACAAGGGTTTAGGCTGAATTAAAATGATGGTGAGACAGCTGTTCAGCACAGATCCCCCCCCAAAAAAATTAGATTTTAAAGACGCTCCACATCTCTGGGAAATAAAATGGAACAAAAGATCTTTTCTCACATTTGCTTGAAATTTCTCTGATTGCAAACCAAGTAAAAGCACACATACAGACACAAAGAGACACACAAGCAAAACGCACATGCTGTGAAATCGATACGAGCAGCACAGACTCGGTCCAGATCTGGGTGTGCGGGCGCATTCCTGGAGGCAAAGAGGAGGAAGTCTGAGACAAGTCAGTGAGCGAGGAACCGAGTTTAGAGAAACGCTGCTGCCCTTCGTTTACCTCGACCACTAAACCAAAACAAAAGCCCCATCCATTCAGCTTAATTACTCCTCGCTGCTGCATGTGGAGCACTTACATTCAACCCATTTATCACAAGAGCCAATCGACTTTCTGCATGCAGCGAAGCTCCTCCGCGCTGTAAGCAATCTGACGATTTTGCCATGGGTGGACGGCACGGATGATTGCCTGTGGTCGGAATCCACGTGTTCTGCATGAACTCACCACATCGTTGTGAATTTATTCAGAGTTGCCGGGAAGCTCTGAGGATGCTGCAGGCTTATACTGAACATCAAAGGATGGATGATGATTACTGAGTCAAATTCATCATGGTTCACAAAATCATATCAAATAATTTGCAAATGTGCAAGAAGCATTCTTAAAAAATGAAATATTTGCACAAATGCACGGTTTTCCAGCTGTCTGAGGTATTAATAAAAACATATTTAATTCTCATACTTTAGCATTTGGCTGTTTTAGAGTCCTGTCATTTTTATTTAGTGATTAATGTGACTCCTTGTTATTTATGAGGAGGTGAGACGTTCAGGACTAATGGTCATTTTTCTGTTTGGATTGTAAAACAGGTCCAGACAACCAACCCAGACCACGCCAGTCACAGGACTTTTTGGGCTCCCTTCTGTTGTAGGTCCAGAAACTCCTGGAGCGGAACGGTTTGGGTGGAGCAACAACACAGTCCACTGATTGGTTGACAGAAATACGTCACTACTTGCAAAAAGGAAAACAAACGAAGTTCCGTTGTTTGCATTTTCGTTAGCTGTGCATAAAAGTGAAAAAACTGCAGCAAAAAGCAGCAAGTGATGGTCACCTTCAGAGTTCCATACATTTCTCGACGTCATCGTGAGAGTCCACAGGAGGAGCTAGACGGATCGGTAGTTTTTTTTCTCAGTGGATGGCAGCCGAAGGATCAGAGCAGACGCCGGCTCAGTGTCGGGCCAAGATGAAGAAATTAAAGCCCAATATTCGTCTTCGTCTTCCTCCGCTTATCCGGGTCCGGGTCGCGGGGGCAGCATCCCAATTAGGGAGCTCCAGGCCGTCCTCTCCCCGGCCTTGTCCACCAGCTCCTCCGGCAGGACCCCAAGGCGTTCCCGGACCAGATTGGAGATGTAACCTCTCCAACGTGTCCTGGGTCGACCCGGGGGCCTTCTGCCGGCAGGACATGCCCGAAACACCTCCCCCCGGGGAGGCGTCCAGGAGGCATCCTGACCAGATGCCCAAACCACCTCAACTGGCTCCTTTCGATCCGGAGGAGCAGTGGTTCTACTCCGAGTCCCTCCCGAATGTCCGAGCTCCTCACCCTATCTCTAAGGCTGAGCCCGGCCACCCTACGGAGGAAACTCATTTCGGCCGCTTGTATCCGCGATCTCGTTCTTTCGGTCATTACCCAAAGCTCATGACCATAGGTGAGGATTGGGACGTAGATCGACCGGTAAATCGAGAGCCTGGCTTTCTGGCTCAGCTCCCTCTTCCCCACGACAGATCGGCTCAGCGTCCGCATCACTGCAGACGCCGAACCAATCCGCCTGTCGATCTCCCGATCCCTCCTACCCTCACTCGTGAACAAGACCCCGAGATACTTAAACTCCTCCACTTGAGGTAGGACCTCTCCCCCGACCCGGAGGTGGCAAGCCACCCTTTTCCGGTCGAGAACCATGGTCTCAGATTTGGAGGTGCTGATCCTCATCCCAGCCGCTTCACATTCGGCCGCGAACCTACCCAGCAAGAGCTGAAGGTCAGAGCTGGATGAAGCTAGGAGGACCACATCATCCGCAAAAAGCAGAGACGAGATTCTCCTGCCACCAAACTCGACACACTCCACACCACGGCTGCGTCTAGAAATTCTGTCCATAAAAGTGATGAACAGAACCGGTAACAAAGGGCAGCCCTGGCGGAGTCCAACCCTCACTGGGAACAGGTCCGACTTACTACCGGCTATGCGGACCAAACTCACGCTCCTCTGGTAAAGGGACTGAATGGCCCTTAACAGAAAGCCACCCACCCCGTACTCCTGGAGCGTCCCCCACAGGGTGCCCCTGGGGACACGGTCATAAGCCTTCTCCAAATCCACAAAGCACATGTGGATTGGTTGGGCAAACTCCCATGCCCCCTCCATCACCCTTGCAAGGGTATAGAGCTGGTCCACAGTTCCACGGCCAGGACGAAAACCACATTGCTCCTCCTCTATCTGAGATTCAACTATCGATCGGACCCTCCTCTCCAGTACCTTGGCGTAGACCTTTCCAGGGAGGCTGAGGAGTGTGATCCCCCTATAGTTGGAACTCACCCTCAGGTCACCCTTCTTAAAGATGGGGACCACCACCCCGGTCTGCCACTCCCTAGGAACTGCCCCCGATGACCACGCAATGTTGTAGAGACGTGTCAACCATGACAGCCCTACAACATCCATAGCCTTGAGATACCCAGGACGAACCTCATCCGCCCCCGGGGCTCCGCCGCTGTGTAGTTGTTTGACTACCTCAGCAACTTCTGCCCCAGAGATCGGACAGTCCATCCCCAGGCCTCCCAGCTCTGGTTCCTCCTCGGAATGCGCATTGGTGGGATTGAGGAGCTCCTCAAAGTATTCCTTCCACCGTCCGACTATAGCCTCAGTTGACGTCAGCAGCTCCCCATCCCCACTGTAAACAGTGTGAGCGAGTTGCTGCCTTCCTCTCCTGAGGCGCCCAATATAGTTAATAATTACAGACATAAACAGCCGGAGTGGACATTTTTTCAGATGAGAGAAATACACGGAGTTGCTACAATGTGCTGGATGCTATTTATAGCGGAGACAGCGAGGCACGCTTCTGGACTTAGCGACTGCACTCTGGAGTCATGCGGAGGCTGTGGTAGGCAGTTTGTTTTGGTCTTTAGCTCTGCAGACCAGCTATTGCAGCACAGAAATACTGAAGAGTTTCACAACTTTTAAAATAGTGCATGATGGTTTGTTTAACCGCCTGCCTACGTGATGGCCCAAACTGCGACCAAAACACTCATCTGAAAATTTCAGACCCAAACTGGAACCGGAACATACCGGTCCAAAAATAACCAGAACAGGCCGTTCCAGACCTGGCGATGGAAAAGAGCTATTACAGTTAGAGGTCCAATGTTCAAGTCCTGAATGCTATCTTTTACTTATGTTTTACATGTAATTAATTTATTAGCATAACCACCATTTTAGCGTAAGTTCCATTTGACCTCAACTTACGTTAAACTGCTTGTTTTATTATTTCCCTTCTGGGCTACTGTATCTCAGATAGAAAGTCTGTTTAATCTCAGTTTTCTCTTTAGCTTAAGTTGTGGAACTTCCTGTATTGTTCTTCAGAAGAGTTAGTGACCTAATTAGCAGAAGTAGAGAGTTAGTTAGAGGAGTTAGTTGTAAGAGTTAACAAGTTAGTTGGAATAGTTAATGAGTTGTTTAGAAAAGTTAAGGAGTTAGAATAGTTAGTAAGTTAAGAGTTAGTGATTAATGAGTTAGTGATTTATTTAGAAGAGTTAAATAAGTAAATTAGTGAGTTAGTTATAAGAGTTAAAGTTAGTTAGAAAAGTTAGTTGCGTTAGAAAAGTGAAATAAATAGTTAGAATAGTAAGTTAAGAGTTAGTTATTTAGAAGAGTTAATAAGTAAGTTGGTGAGTCAGGCATAAGTTAAAGTTAATAGTGTTAGTGAGTTAGTTAGAAATATTAGTGAGTTAGTTATAAGAGCTAGTGAGTTAGTTATAAGAGTAAGTTGAGTTAGTTATAAGAGCTAGTGAGTTAGTTAGAGCTAGTGAACATCTTAGGTGTGTTCTTGCTGTGTCTTTGTAAATCCATGCTTTTGTTCTTTTTTAAACACAGAAATAGTTTTGTTTACCTGTTTGTAGCTACGGTTTCGCCGACAGCTGCCGGCTTCTTCAGGCTGACACTGATGGTGGCGCGTCACTTCCTTCTCCGTTTATCTGCGGGCAGCAGAGGACGTTGTCGCCCTCTACTGCCCGCTCTCCCCTCTCCGACGATGCAGTCCCATGCGTGGTCCAGCGTGTAAACTCAGTCGTCCCTGTTCATGGTCCCACATCCACGTCTCCTTATCTCTATTGCTTCCTTGATCCATCTTTTGTATTTTTGTTGTTCAGTGGTTATGATCCGTGTGCTGTCCCAGTCCATTATATGGTTTTCTCTTAAGCAATGATCTGTTACGGCTGACTTTTTTATTGTACTTTCTGCTTCTTCTTTTGCTGCTCTTGTGTGTTTACGATTTGCCTCTTTCTCGCACTCCTTTCTGTGTTCTATTGTCCGTGTATTGAGTTGGCGTCCGGTTTCTCCTATGTATGTTTTATTGCATATTTTGCATGGGATTTCGTAGATGACTCCACATTTTTGTCCAGCTGATATTTTGTCTTTTGGGTGTACTAATCTGTTTCTAACTGTTGTGTATGGCTTTGTTGGTGTGTTTATGTTGTGTTTTTTCATTGTTACTCTTATTTTTTCCGTTATGCCTCTGATGTATGGTAGGGTTATCACTGGTTTTGGTTCTTGTCTTTCTGGGTTTCTGGTTCTTTTTTTGGGTTGTTCTTTGCTTTCTGTTTTTGTTTGTTGTTTTCCTTTGTTTATT